GGGTTTGGACCGCCAGCCTTCTGGTTAGCAGTCAAGTGCTTTAGCCACTATGCTACCAGAGCTCCTAGACATTCCATTACTAGGTATATATTCTAAAGATGTGAGAGCCAGGACAAGAACAGATATATGCACATCCATGTTCATCACAGCACTATTTAAAATAGAAAAAAGATGGAAACAATCTAGTTGCCCATTATCAGAAGAATGGATAACCAAACTATGGTACAAACTATGAAATACTATGCAAAACACCACATAACATTTATGAACTTGGAGGATATTATACTGAGTGCAGTAATTCAATCACTAAAGGGCAAATACAATACAATCCATTATTATAAAAAGTCAAGGAAAGGTTTATATATGGAAGGAAATTTCCTTTGTTGGTTAGCAGGGGTGGGAGGGAAAGGAAGGGAACACTGCTAGATAGGTACAGACAAGTACTGAGTTGGGTGAACAGAAGGTCAATGTACCAAATGTGAGTGATCAACATGGTGGCACTGAGGAAAAGGAAGACACAGAGAGATGCATGGGAGGTACAGACATCAAAGATGAACCTTTTTGTACATATAATACTGTATTAACCGTGATGGCAAACATTGATCTATGTATGGGTGGATAGATGGGTTGACAGGCTGAATGATTAGGTTATGCCTATGCAGTGGGGAGCGTGCCCATGATCATGTATAGGGTTGGCAAACAATGTTTCTACAAATATATTTGTATGTTGTGTAAGAATTTCTAGGTATACAATAGACTTGACAAGAGATAATGTTGTAGTCACTTCTTGGCCATAGCCCATGAACCAGGGGGAACAAGTAGTTGGACCTGTGGGCTGGGACTATGGTTGCAGGGGACATCAAGCTCAATTGGCATAACATACTACACGAAACATTGTAAGCTTGCCAGCAGCCATCTAGATGCAACAATGGTCTCTCTTCATCCAGAGCAAAGAAGAATGAAGACAACCAAAAACTCATGGAAACAATTAGTCCAAGGGACTGGTATACCACGTGATCCTTAGCTTATATGACTATGAGATCAGAAGAACTAGACGGTGCCTGGCTACCAATGTCAACCACTCGGAGGGAGATCTATATAAGAGATCCTGGATAAAGTGGGAGAACAATATGGAACAAAACTCAAAATCATTAAAAAAAAAAAAAAAAAAAGACCAGGTTTGTTGGTCTGATAGAGCCTGGTGGAACCCTTCAGGTCTGGAATTGAACCCACTCCTGCAGCTTCCAACCAAACAAAAGACAAGGCATATGAGCTAAACATTTACATTAGCTAGATGTACTCCTTGGAGAGATCAATCATGGTTGAACAGAAGGGCTGTGTATGCACAGGGAGATAACTTGGGGGCAGGAGTGCATGGGAGGGAAGGACACAGGGAAGAGGTGGCAATGGAGAGGAAGTGGAGGAGAGCTGCTGCACTGTAGGAGATTACAGTCAATGTCATGAGAGAAAATGTATGTGAACTACTGTATGGAAGAGGAATTTGCCCTGGAAACTTTCACCCAAATCACAATTTAAAACAAAAACAATCTAGAGCTTCACTAGATAATATGGTAGACACGAGCCATGTGTGGATATTGAGTCGTTGAAATTTGGCTACTTCAAACTGAGATGTACTACAAGTATAAAATTCACACAGGACTTCCAAGACTTGGTAACAACAACAAAACAATGTAAAATATGTCAATTTTAAAAAATATATTTTTATTAAAAAAATAGAATTTTTGTTTCAGTAGTCGTATAAATTGAAAATATTAAACTATCCTATTTATTACAGATAAATAGGAGCTTCCAATAAATTCTCCTTTAAAGAAACAATTTTTTCTTTGAAACATCCTCTGGCTTTCCTGTTCTCTCTTTGAATATTTCCTCTGAATTTTACCTCTATCATCATCACCTTTTATGATCCTCAAAACACATTTACTTAGTAAGTAAACTACATAAGAAACTAAAGTGCTTTCCTTACCTACCAATTTTCAAGATGAACCTATATATGACAACTTAAATACGCTAATCACAAACTCTCAGGGCTGTGAGAAAAGCCTACACAGAAACAGTTCTAGAAAAAGTGTTGCTGCTGTTGTGTTATGTGCCAGTCGAGTCGGACCCGACTCACAGCCTCCCCTCCTTGGGTTTCCTAAGGCAGTATCACTACGGAAGTAGATTGCCCCATCTTCCTTCCGAGGAGTGGCTGGTGGGTTTGAACCACCAGCCTTCTGGTTAGCAGTCAAG